GAATGACCACCGGGAGGGGCAGAAAAGGAGCCAGAGATGGGGGCTGGGACAGCTATAGCCCCATTGGGCCATTGGAGTGGAGAAAGCGACAGCTATCTACTATATATTTCAGAGAGTTTGTCTGTTTGTGTGTCTGTCCTCCTGCACCTTTCCTCACTTGGCCCCAAGCTGCTATGGTGAGAGGGGGCTAAGGTTGTCCTGTCTCCCCAGGGCAGCCTGCACCCTGAACCCCTCCTCCCCAGACCCACCTCAGAGCAATGATTTCAATGAAGAAAAAGCATAGTTGAGTTAAGGACCCGAGCCAGGCAGGGAAATTTTCTCATTTCAAATAACAGGCTATAAGCTAAGCTTCATGGTTATTTCTGAATTATTTAGTTTTAAAAAAATAGCGAAGAAACCACATTTCTGTAGCACACGTGGAACAGTGGCACAATGAGAGACATTGCACGTTTGTAACCAACCACGACCTGCCTGGGACTATGTTTCACGCTGCCCCGTATCTGTCAGGAACCCACCCAGGACATATGAAAAGATGCCAGTTCCTCTTACACACCCAGTCCCCTAAAGTAATCCCTGAAGTTAACGGTTTTCTTGTGGAACTGGGGTCCTAGCCCGCTAGGGGCCAGAGGCCTTGGGCCAGTCCAGCCCAGTTCCACTAGCCCCAGACCGCCCCACTGTGCAGTGTTGGCCTACAGTAGGGGTGGGCTAAAGGGTTGTGCACTCCTCTCAGGGAGGGGGTAGGGCTGAGGAAACTTCGCGCGCTCCTCCTGCCCCCAGGCCAATCAGGACTTGAGGAGGTGGAGGAGCTCATGAAGTCTCCTCCCACCCTGCCAGGTGTGCGCGGCGCTTCAAAGGGCTACGTGCTCCTGGCAGGGCGGAGGAAACTTCATGCGCTTCCCCCACCCCCAGGCCCTAATTGGCCTGGGGTGGGGGAGCGTGTTAAGCCTCTTCCTGCCTTGCCAAGGGCATGGGTGCTTAATGGGAGGGGCAAAGGGGCTCCCCTACCCCCAGAACAAACATGGTCTGAGGGTGGGGGAGCTGGGAAGCATCATGGCCCCGCCCCTTCCGTTTTAGGCCCCGCCCCTTCCAAGGTGGCCCAGGGCTACTTCAAAAAAATTTTAAGTGGCCCCCCACGCAAAAATTATTTCCCACCCCTGCTTCAAGTTGTTATAACAGAGAAGGAGCTTGCTTTTCTGTCCCACATATAATGTGATAGTGTATCTCTTTCGTACAGAATGCTCTTCCTTTATGGAGAAAGGGCCATGGTATGTTGCATGCTGGTTTCATTATGTGTCATTTACGATAACAATTAGACAATAGGGGTGATAAAGCAGATAAAGGCCCATGGAAGATTCTAGGCAAGAAGGCCTGGGTGTGGCTGCCCAAAAGAGACCAGAGAGCAACCCAAAACAGCCCCGGATTTGCCGAGGGAAAAGACAAAAAAGAGCCAGGAAAGGTGAAAGCTGAGTCCAGAGGGTGGGCAGAAAAGACCTGAATCAGAGGAGGGAAGCTACTCCTCCTGAAGGCGAGGCTGAATCCAGTTTAGTGGTTGTTTTGGAGTGGTGCACCCCTGAAGGAACGAACTAGAATGGCTTCACCAGAGGGCCAAGTCCAAGATGGGGAAACTGAGGCAAGACCACGGCAGGACCCACCCAAGAGAAAATGACATCCCTTTAGCTGTCTACAAAAAAAAGAGAGCACTTATGGTTTTGTAAACAGAGCCCCTCTGACTACAACTGGCTAGCAGCCGTTATAAGGCCGGACTTTGCTTCCACTGAGGTCAAAGGCAAAATCCGTTTCGTTTCAGCAAGCACAGGTCTATACTGTGCATCACACGAATTCTTCATATCTTGGGGGTGGGGAGGGTGGAGAAAGGAAATCGGTTCAATTCCCCCCTCCCTGATCCTGCAATGCATCGGAAACACCCCGGCACCCGGCATCGGCTTCCCTGGGGAACGGAAGGTCACAGTGGGTGCACAATGACAATGTGGGTTTGACCACGCAGCATAGAATCGAATGAAAAATGTGGCCGTGGTTGAATGAACTGCAGCACTGGGCCGCTTTGATTTCCCCCACCCCTCAACAACAGGAGCCCAATTTCCTGCTCCATACAGTTCGTGCCATAACTAAGCTGAAATGAAATTGAGACAACACCTATTTTCCTCCCCTGCCCCCATTAACTCAGTCCATTCGACCATATGCCATAAATTACCTGTGTGTGTATGACAGGGTCGCCGACAAGCGGCGAATGAACTAGCAAAACAAAGCAAAGTACAAGCTTATCTCAAAAATCAGGAGGCAATTCCTTCAAACCACAGCATCCGCAGAAGGCAAACTCTGGGCTTGGCTTACATTCCTCTGAGACGATTGTCTTCCAGGGCGCAGCGGGACCTAACACTTGGCCATGAATGCCCGAACCATCCACCCACTCAGGAAGAGACATTTAGATCAAGTCTGCAGGGCTGTGGTTGTGGTTCCAACCATTACTGGGGGAAAAAAGTCCCCACCCCTCCCACCCATGTACAACACCACCCCCCTCTTTGCCATAAAAGACTGGGAAAAACCCAACAGTAGACCCCGGGCAACATTTAAACTGCAGCCAGATTTATTCTTGGCAGAACGTTACCCAAAGATTAGTAAGGCATGATTTCCCTTTACAGAAACCATGTTGACTTTTCCGCAACATATTATGTTCATCTATGTGTCTGACAATTTTATTCTTTACTATAGTTTCAACTAATTTGCCCAGTACTGACATTAGACTTGCTGGTCTATAATTGCCAGGATCACCTCTAGAGCCCTTTTTAAATATTGGCATCGCATTAGCTATCTTCCAGTCATTAGGTACAGAAGCTGATTTAAAGGATAAGTTACAAACCACAGTTAATAGTTCTGCAATTTCACATTTCAGTTCTTTCTAAACTCTTGAGTGAATGCCACCTGGTCATCTGGTACTGGTGCCTTATTACTGTTACATTTATCAATTTGTGCCAAAACCTCCTCTAATGACAACTCAGTCAGGGACAGTTCCTCAGATTTGTCACCTAAAAAGAATGGCTCAGGTTTGGGAATCTCCCTCGCATCCTCAGCCGTGAAGACCAAAGCAAAGAATTCATTTCGTTTCTCTGCAATGACCTTATCATCTTTGAGTGCTTCTTTAGCATCTCCATCGTCCAGTCGACTTCCGATAATCTGGCACCTTTGGGACCCAGGGGCTGCCGGATTATCGGATATGCCGGAGTATCAGGAGGTACTCCAGAAGGGGGGCTGTGAGGAGTCTGGAGGGAGGGGGATCGGCGCTGCGGGACCAACCCAGCAGCACCCCAGCTGCTCTGCCCGTGGCTTCCCCCAGTCCGCCG